AGATTACCTAAGTATAGATTGTCGAACACTGCTAAACGACGGGTGTCTTCTACCCGCAAATTCAATGTCTCACAACCGTAAATTAGAACTGATCGTACGGTGGCGCAGTATACGCGACTTTTCAACGTCGCCGCCTGCATACGCTGCTCGAGCCTGGGAAATGCGGGCGGTTATCCCGGACGGCTGTTCACAGCCGCACATCCGATCACGCCTGAAAGGTCAATGGATAGAGGCCAGTCAAAGATCAGTCTCACAAGGCCAGCTGCTTGGGCACCTAATGGCTTCCTTTTATATCCACACCCGCCCCTGGATAGGCCACTCCAACAAGTGAACAAGATGAGAGGCATTTTATCGATCAAAAAAACCCGCTAGATGGACGTCGGAGAGGGGTATCTGGGGCTTCGTTCTGACGATGGGAGAAGTCTTTGCACATCACTGGACAGCTACCACCTGCTCAAGTTGGGCAGCCGCCAGCCAATAATGTGCTGCTCCGTCCACGTTCTGCTTGTCTCATTGGGTGCATGAGTCTATGGGCCGATCCCAAGAAGCGGACCAACAATCAACGCACCAGCGAGCAACACAATTGATCGAAATTGAAAGGTCTCTAGAAGCTCCCACACGAATGCTTCGTTCACACTCCCGCGTTGGATTTCCGCCCCACTGCCTTATGGGTCAGACTTTTGAGTCGAGGGCTTAGGTTAGGGTTCCCAAACAAAAACCCCTTGGTCGGTGTGGGCTACCGCGAAGTCTTGGTCACCTATTTGGAAAACCCTCTTTCCCATCTATCTACTTCTTCCTCTCAAGCGCCTGTTGTTTACAAGACCCATCGGATGTCACTCCACGTTTTACCAACAAATCCGAAGAATCAGAAGTTACGGGATTTTTGAAACCGAAATTCCCTTTTCATCTAGCCGCGTTTCGTGTCCGCACACTATCAGATCGGCCAACATGCTGCCTTAGCTAGAACCCTTGAAACTTTCAATTTAGATGTATATTGTGTCTCCGAACCACGCATAGAAGACCCCACTTCCATTATCTCCCTGCGTTCTCCTGACTCACCCTCACACTTCACCCTTTCGTGTATCAGGCGATTCGGCGTCCGTACTTCGCGTTGTTGTTGATTTCGGGATTGCACTGTGCCAGGGCTGAGCACTCGCTTCTTGACTGGATTCCAGTCAGTAGTCGAATGCGTCTCAACGGTTCAGCGCTGGTCAACAGCTTCAGAACGAAGCGCCGATGTCTGTTCGTCATATCGGTGTATGCACCGACCGATTGCCGTACACCTGAAATCAAGGGTTAATTCTACAATGACCTTTCTCGATTACTCCAAAGAGTTCGATCAACGGATATCGTGGTAAGTGGTGGAGACTTCAATACCCAAGTATGATCCCTGGATCATTCAGAGAGGCTTCCTGGTGAACCACATGCAATGCTAGCCAACCGGACGGACAACGGAGATTACTTACTTCAGCTCTGTGTCGACCACGGACTGTTCCTGTCAGGTACGAACCTCTCGCACAAGAAACGACACCGCCCTACATGGTAACCGCCAATCTTTTCACAGCACTGAACTCAAATCGACTACATCGCCATCAGTTACCACTGGCGAGAATCCGTTGAAAACTGCCGCTCCAACTGATCAACAACGGTGGACACGGATCATGATCTGCTACAACTCAAATTCTCCTTACACCGTAAAAAAGCCTGCAAAAACGGATATCTACGATGAAACCTCATTCGTTTTTGCAAATTACCTTTCGAAGCGGAACTCTTTGGTCACCCGTTAGTTCAACCACCAGCCGAAGGATTCAATCAACACTGGCATCAAATCCAGTAAGCTATGCAGATATCAATAAATACAACGCCAGACCCTTGCGCACGGTCAAAACATATACGATAGATTTAATGGACCTCGGCTGCCCTGCTGGACACCCGCAGAACCCTTCCTCCTGATGCCGCATTTGACACCGCACGCAAATCCCTCAAACGCAAGCTCATCAAGAATCTGAGGAATGACCGCGAGAAGTGTTGGATAGGAAAGTGTAGAGAGATGGAGAAAGCTGCGGCTATTGGTAAAAGTCGCAATCTTTTCCGTCTAATCAGGAATACGGGCCCTAGGAAAGTAGACGTGAATGAGGTAATTAAGGAATCCGATGGCACACTCATTGATGATCAGCAACGCCGTCTTGACCGCTGGGGCCCAGTTGAGGCTCAGTTGAACTAGCTCCCATCGACATCTGCACTATCACCCTCCACCACGACTGCGCAGATTCAACCAGTCGATGCCAGTCCTCCATTTGAAAAGGCATACGGCCTCCGGCCCAGACGGCCTTTCCCCGTTCGTTTTTAAGGATGGAGGTTTAGCATTGGTTTTGGAGTTAACGAAACTCCTGGGTTCACTGTGAGAGGGAACAGATTCCAGCTGAATGGTATGATTCGGTCATAATACCGATATACAAGAAAGGTGACAGAGGTGGAGTTTGTTTAATCAACATTGCTTCTAATCTTCTCGCTGGTATCATACTCCATCGATTGTGTCTGCCACATGTGAACTTTACACGTGTTAGAGCCGGTGGAGGTTGTATCGACCACTTCTTCACTCTTCTCCAAATTCTGGGGCACCAACATTCTTTTCGAATACCCATCATCTCTATCTTCCTGTATCTGAAATCCGTTTGCGACTCAGTCGATCCCTGTAAACTCTGGCGCTGCCCTTCTCTGAAACCTGTGTCCGAGAAGTCAGTTTCAATTTTATAATCCCTCTATACTCCCTGCCGAAACCGAGTCCGAGCTTACGGCACGTTTTCACCCAAGTTCACTACGGAAAGTGGTGTTCGACAGGGTCACTCTCACCTTCTCTATTTAACTTTGTCATAGATCGGATTATCCTCATGTGGGGATAGCGGTATCTATTTACTTCCGGGTACAGACTGTCTGATCTAGAGTA